GTTCAGCGAGATCGTGTTCCATTGATGCGAATAGATGATAATCGGATGGAGCCAAGTCTGGAGAAGAAGCCGCATCCGTTAGTATTTCCCAACTGAATGCCTCGATCGTTTCACTGACCCGTTTTGCTGTGTGTGATGGGGCATTATCATGGAGCAAAATGACTTTGTGTTGCCTCTTTCCATATTCCGGTCGTTTTTCACGCAATGCTTTATTTAAATCGATCATTTGCTGTTAGTAGCGATCAGTGTTAACGGTTTCACCAGATTTTAGCAGCTCATAATAGATCACACCCTTCTGATCCCACCACACACAAAGCATTGTCTTCTTTCTAAAGCGATTGCAGCGGATGTCGATGGTTCGCCTGGATTCACCAATGATTTCTGACGCTTAGGATTCTCAAAATATATACATTTTTCATCACCTGTCATGATACGATGGACTTTCTTTTGTATCTGTCGAGCAGCATTTCAGAGATGGTTTTTCGATTTTCTTGCTGTCTTTCATTCAGTTCATGCGGAACCCATTTTCCCACTTTCTGAATCTTTCCCATGGCTTTCAAACGAATTGAGATAGCTTTCTGCGTCACATTTAATTCATCCGCGAGTTCTTGTTGAGTTTGAGTATCATCTTCATCCAATAAGGCTTGCAATTCGTTGTCTGCGAACTTTTCCGGTGGTTTCCCACGCTCTTCGTTTCTCACGTCAAAATCACCACTTTTGAATTTTTTCAACCACTCGAAGCACTGCGTTTTACCAAGAGCATGTTCACCGTAAGCTTCGACAAGCATTCTATGTGATTCTGCAGCAGTTTTCTCCAAATGATAACAAGAAACCAATGCTGTCCGCAAATCTTAATTTGTAGACGCAAAACTCGACATATTTAAGGTTATAGGAAAATATACCGGTGTGTGGAACTTGGGTTGTTGTGTGTTGAAAATCTTTGTCAGCTGTTAGAGGGAGATGATAGCGCTGCAGAAGCGGTCTTACGGTTTCTAAACTGATGGCTAGCATCATCTATAGGGAAATTCTGGTTTCATACATCTACATCTGGTATTTGAAAGTACTGTCAATAATCTTTAATAATCAGTGTGTGACATTAGATCGTAGTGCAACACAAGTTTTTATTGCATTAAAAATGTTGGTTGCCGTACGAAAAAAAGAATATTTGTTTGTAGCTTTATATTCTGCTTTCATCTAAAGAAATCTACTGCTGAAGATCAGCGTTTACTAAAGGAGGCTTATGAGTAACAGGTTCCATTTCGAACAACTTGCAGAGATTGTTTCAAATAATTCACAGGCAACGATTTTGACGTAAAGGACAAGAAGCGGCCCGGTCACCCAAGAAAGTTCATAGATGGAGAATTTGAGGTGTTACTGGTAGAAGATTCATGTCAGACTCTCAAAAAGTTGTCGGAAACACTAAATGTTGATGAATCAACCATTAGCAAACGTTTAAAAGCAATGGTAATGGTCCAGGAACTAGGAAAGTATGTTCCACGTGAATTGTGAGGATGAAATATTGCGAAACGTTTAACCATTTGTGAATTGCTGCTTTAAAGACAAAAACGGAAATAATTTGTGTCAATCCTAAGAATCCTAAGAATGAAGAAATCATGGGTGCATCCCGGCAAACCATCAACATCAACGCCAAAACAGGATATTTATGGAAAGAATGTCATGCTGTGAATTTGGTGGGATCAAGTCGATGTAGTGTATTATAAGCTGCTGTATCCGACAAACCATCAATGCTGAATGCTACCGACGATAATTACTTAATTTGAATCAAGCGCTCAAAAAAGAACGCTACAATACGCAGAGAGATATGACAAAATTATTTTTCTCCATGACAATGCTAGACCGCATGTTGCAACACCAATGAAAGAAATCTTGGAGGCACTTGGAAGGGATGTTTTGCTCCACCCGCCCTATTCGTCAGACGTTGCTTCTTCAGATTTCCATTTTTTTCGATCGATGCCGCATAGCCATTCTGAGCAGCGTTTCAGTTCTTTCGAAGATATTAAGAAATGGCTCGACTGAATCGCCTAAAAAAATCTGAATTTTTCTACAGCGAAATTCATGTGTTATCCGAAAAATAGGAAAAAATTTTAGCTTCCGAAGGATAATACTTCGAAAAAGTTATAACATACTGAACTCTTGAAATAAACATGTGTTTTTGTAGCAAAAAACAGCAAGAATTAATTCAAGCACCTAATATATATATTGTGACGTGGCGGCTCGGAGCGCCTGTCACAAGGGCCCTATCGCGTATAGAGTGGCGCGCTCCCGCAAGTGTCGAATTTAAACAACCAGTGTTTTTTTGTTGTTGTTTCTTTGAGTTAGCGGAATAGCGAAGACCGCGCGCCGCGGGCGCGCGGTAGCGGTAGAGCCGAGCCCTGCGCCCCTGGAGAATGTAAAATCCCGCTCCGAATGGCGGCGAGAAGAGGGCCGAGCGTCGACTGCCGGGCGGAGGACCTAGGCCACCCAAGGCTTCCACCGGACCCTACGGCCTCACCGCCCTCTGATCTGTGCCAACCGACGAGAAGCCGCTACCGACACCGCCGGGGCTATCGTTCCGACCCCTCGGCGACGGTAAGGCCGGCGGGCCGAGGTCGCGCTCAAGGACGAGGAGCCCGGAGCCGCGGTACCGTGCCGAGATTGGCCGGCGGTAAAGCGGCGGGCTAAGAGGCGACTCGGGAACCGCCGGCAGAGATCCGGCTGCTGAGGAGGGGATAATGGAACCGTAAGGGAAGGGGAAGACTACTGTTTAAAAATCGGAAGTCTCCCCGAAGAGTTAGTTGAGGTTCTGAAAGTTTTGGTGTTGAGCCCGCAGTTTTGAAGAAATCTGCGTTGGCTATCGACAATTATCGACGTAGAAAGAGAGAGAGAGAGAGAGAGAGAGAGAGAGAGAGAGAGAGAGAGGGAAATCTAGGACGAGGATCGTCGAGGACATCCACAACAAAGAGAAATATTCATGGCCACAAAGCAATGCTTTGCATTTGGTGGGATATGCACGGCGTAGTTTATTATGAGCTATTGAGACCGAACTAAAGTATCACGGGGGATTGATATCAATCATAATTAAACCGTCTGAATGAAGCATTGTTAGAAAAAAGGTCAGTAGCCAGCAATCGACGTAAAGTCGTGCTTTTGCACGACAACGCTCGACCACACGTTGCCAAAGCCGTCAAAGAAACACTGATGCAGCTCGAGCGCCGGGCGGAGGACCTAGGCCACCCAAGGCTTCCACCGGACCCTACGGCCTCGCCGCCCTCTGATCTGTGCCAACCGACGAGGAGCCGCTACCGACACCGCCGGGGCTATCGTTCCGACCCCTCGGCGACGGTAAGGCCGGCGGGAAGTTCTCCCGCACCCAGCGTTTTCACCAGACTTAGCTCCTTCGGACTATTACTTGTTCCGGTCGATGCAGCACGGCTTGGTGGATACACACTTCAGAAATTACGAGGATGTGCGAAAATGGATCGACGAATGGATTGCATCAAAAGACCAATCGTTCTATCGTCGCGGAATCTACGCGTTGCCCGAAAGATGGGAAAAATGTATAGCTAGCGAGGGAAAATACTTCGATTAATGTATTTTTTGTTTTTGATGTCGAAATAAATGAGTTTTTTAAACAAAAAAACCGCAGGAACTAAGTTTACCACCTAATATTTACGTATTTATTTATTTATTTATTTATTGTAATGAATTATAATGTTTAAACTTTCATATTTGTTGATTTTATAATTATGTTTGACTATGTTATTGAACACTCTGACGGATTTACTAGACTTTTGAAACGTACACTGGGAGTCTCTCTTCTACGTCAAACAGAAATTGTGCCCCAATTATTATTTCAAATCCCAAATCTTTAATAATCTATTTAAAGTATTTGGCTGTCATTAATTGACGCTCTGACAATGTGTGGAAAATGATGTTTTAAGAGTAAATTAATGCAATATTAATTGCGATATAGAGTCAGTTAGACATGGAAAAATAACTGCCCTCATGCGTTTAAAAATGACAATCTGTCATTGTGTGCGATAACGCTATCAAACTTATTATCCTCTTGTATAAAATTAATCGCCCCAACAACCTGCAATCGGCTCTAATAAGTTTTTCTATACTTTCATTTGATTATAAATTTCAGAGTCTAATATTATACAATTCTTTCGATTAAAATGAATTTGTTCTGGTGACAATGGAATACATTGTATTCACTTTTTAGTTTCGAGTAAAAATATTTTCTCAACATTTCAGAGTGAAAAATTTCTTTTATACGAATAAATACTTACATTCTAGAGACTCGGCTATTACTCTACTTTTCGAGTGAAATTTTACTACAATAAATTTAAAGTATGTGATCAAAGATAAAAATAGGTAAATGTTAGTCATCCAACAAATAACTTTTTGTACGTATACAAAGTTATTCGAACCTTACAGAGCAAAATTAATACTGAAATTGATTAAAGAATTAACACTGATTAGATACTGGCAGTATTTTAACAATTATTTAGCAAATACTTAACCAATGATTAATATATTTTATATTATATACTTAAAAAAATTGAATATATGTTTCAAAAATTACAGTAATTAAATAAATGTAATAGAAAAAAAAGAAAAAGGAAAAACGAAAAAAAATGTTTACTCAGTACAATATTGAACCTAAATTATCTAGTTAATTCAAGCATCTTAGATTTTCTGCTATCGAAATATTTATTTGATTTTCGCTCACGATCTGTTGTATTTTCACTGCTTTCTCAATATTTAATCATTGCAAATTATTTCTATTAAATTTCTGTAAGATTATATTTCATCACTACTGCGCTATTAAACATTAGTACTTAATTATTCACATGAATGATAAGATAATATTTAATACTACAATCCTGAGCATTGAAATATTTAGAATCACTGCGAGCTCTGTAATTTAATCATTATGAAAAACTAATAACAACGTTTTAAATATTAAAAATTAATTAATTACTAATTTAGCAGTGATAAATTCCTGTTAATACAATATTGGTGTTATGTGAATGTATATTTATCATTCTAAATTTCGAAAGATCGTAAATTATCATTTCGTACCGAGAATCATCCAGACCGTAAACCTGACCAATGTCAAGATACTGAGCTTGAAGATGAGATAGATGTTGACGGTAACGGCAATCGCGGGGACGAACGGTAAGCCTGGAGTCATAAACATCACGCTATTCCTAAAACAGGAAAGCGCTTGAAGTTGGTAATTAGTTCGTTCAATCGTTTCACGGTTGAAATTGCAACTCGTAATTCACGAATTACGCAAATTCCTAAAGTAAACAACATCATACCTATTTTGTGGCTTTCGACTAATGGCGAGAAGTACACCGATTATGGCGAAAAGAAAGAAAAATAGTAATATTGTTGTAAACGTTCCCATGTTACCTGAAACACGAAGAAGAGACACGTTAAATACGGTGAAAAAATATATTAGGTCGACAAGGATGAAATTTGTAATTAATAATAATATTGCCTAATGTGACAGCTTATTAGTTGATATTAGTTTAATATATTACCGTTCTGTTTTTTTTTTGTTGGAAAGTTACATATCTCGCCTGTTTAAATAAATCATTGTAAGATTTAAAAAATATTAAAACCTTTTTTTTAAAAATTAATTTTGTTGAAAATGGAACAATCGAAAATTCGTACTATTATGAAGTATGAGTTCTTACGTGAATCTTTACTTACTACGGCATTACTACGGCAACGTAGACAGCGCGAAAAATTAATAGTGTATTTGGCTCTAGTGTTACTACACAGCAGACAGTATCATTGTTTCGCCAAATTTCGTACAGGTAATTTTAACCTCACAAATGAGCAACGCGGTCGCCCAGAATAAAAAGTCAATAATAACGAACTAAAGGTCTCCGTTGAGTCTGACCCATCTCAGAGTGCCTATGAATTATCGTTGAAGTTTGGTGTTAGCAAACAAACAATATTAACTCATTTAGCTCAAATCGGTAAAGTGAAAAAGTTGGATAAGTGGGTTCCACGTGAACTGAATTAGAAACAAAAGCATTTGGAATCTTGCTTGATGTTGCTTTCTCGTCACAAATCTGATCCATTTTTTAATCGAATTGTCACTTGTGATGAGAAATGGATCCAATATGACAATCGCAAACGTTCAGCATAGTGGTTGGAGAAGGATGAATCACCAAAACACACTCCAAAGCGCAATATTCATGAAAAAAAGCTGATAGTGAGTGTTTGGTGGTCTAGCGCAGGTGTGATCAATTATGATTTCATGAAACCTGGTTTACCGATCACAGCAGAAATATACTGCAACCAACTGGACGAAATGATGCAAAAACTTAAAGAAGAACAGCCTAGATTGGTCAACAGATCAAATCCTATTTTATTGCATGATAACGCTAGACCACACATTGCACAAATGGCTGTGGCAAAACCACAGGAATTGGAGTTGGAACTTCTTTATCATCCTCCATACTTACCAGACCTAGCCCCCAATGACTACCACTTCTTCCGCAATTTGGACTACTTTTTAATAGGAAAACAATTTATTTCCGACAATGCTGGAAAACTGGCCTTCCAGAAATTCATTGACTTTTGTCCGCCAGGGTTTTATACCACCGGCCTGAACAACCTGCCGCTTAAATGGCAAATGTGTATATGCAATATAGATGCATATTTCGATGAATAAAATAATTCCTTATATTTGTAAGTTATCAACCAACTTTGCCTTTTTTTCTACAAATTTCATCCTTGACAACCTGATATTAATTTTTTCACGGATGTAGAGACAGATATAGCGTAAATTTTTCTCACCCATTCCACAAACGATAATCAGGTCGAAGATAAGGATCAATAAATATAAGATCCCAACGAGTTTCATCACGTAACGTCCTGATGCCTCCGTCGCTGGACCTCTGTCCACCCATGGGAATATAGCGGGGCAAAGATATTGCGCTGCCTAAGGAGGACAATCGCGATTTATTATAAATGTAAGGAAATATAAGGAATAGAATTTTTTACAATAATTTCATATTTCCTATATTACGGATATCCTTATATCGAGAGATGAATCTAATCGTATGGCGAGATAAGAATATACGATATAATGCGCGATCCAAGAAATAGATGCACTAAGAGAAATGCCATTAATATTATAATCATTTTCAGCAAATCAATTATATCTCTTCTCCTTGTTGTAATCCAAAAATAGTAATAATAATAAGTACGTAAGGTTACTATCACTATCACTAAAGTAATATATTGGGTCTATGCATAATTCCGTTGCGAAAATTGAGTAAATTTCAAACGCAAAATATTTAGCAAAAAAAGCGTTTTTAATGAACTAAATATGTTCTATTCTGTTCAATGACTTTCTGCCATCTTTCCACGAGCTTCATTATCCCTCTTCCATTCTGTTCTGAGATTTTTGGGCAAAGAAGCCGTCCAAGTGGTTTTTAAGGATATCCAGGGAACTGAAGGTATTGTTATTCAAATTGTCCTGCAGCGCCCAGAACAAGTGATAGTCTGAAAGTGCATGGTCCGGACAATACGGTGGGTGCATCAAAACATCCTACCCAAGCCGAAATACCTTTTGCAAGGTAATCAGAGAAACATATGGTCTAGTGATGTTCTAGTGGAACACAACGTCTTTTTGTTTGTCAGTTCGGGCCGCTTCTGATTGTTTGCTAGCTTTAATTTAGCCAGTTATGAGCAGTACCTGGTCGATCGTTTAATTTAACCAGTTATGAGCAGTACTTGGTCAATCGTTTTGATGGGTGGCAGCAGATCATAATAGACGATTCTTTTCTAATACCACCAGATACTGAGCATAACATTCTTCAGGTGTAATCCAGCCTTTACGACCGTTTCAGCAGCCTCCCTGCGCTTCGACCATGATCATTATCAACTGACGTTGCTATAGACAATTTACTTTTCATTGCCAGTATATATCCGCTTTAAAAATGGTTCGTTTTGATGGCGTTTGAGCAGCAAATCGCAAGCTGAAATTCGGTCCATTTTATTCTTTTCGCTCAGTTTGTGCGGCACACAAACATCAAACTTGTTTACCATCCAAAGTTTCCGTAAATGTCTTAAAACAGTTGATTAGTCAATATTGAGGTAATGTCCGATCTCTGTAGTCGTCAAATGCCGATCGTAGTCGATTAAAGCCTTTATTTCATCGACATCAGTAGTGACTGGCCGACCAGAGCGAGGAGCACTTTAGAGATTAAAACCTCTGCAACGAAATTTTCCAAACTATTTCCGACACATACTTTTGTTTATGATATTTCTCTCCGTACACAGAGCAAAACTTTTTGTGAGTTTGAAACGCGTTTTTGTCTTTTCGGAAATAAAAAAGCAGAATGCATCGAAAATTTGCTTTTTTACTTTCCATTATCAAAATATAATTAAACTTCGTATACGTCACAGATCTCAATAAATACTTTCATAAAATGTCGGCACAAATTTCAGCTTTCACTTAATGTACGACACTTTATATGTTTGACTCATGTGCGAGTGAAAAAATTACTGCTAAAGACATCTGTCGGAATTTCGCTACGCAATTATGCATAGACCCTATATATTATAGAAAAATGGGTCTTCTGATTATAATTCTCTCACTTATTCAATTATATTGGGTGAGTGCAAAAGTTCGTGCGGAGTTTGTGAGTAAAAGTCAGACAGTGATTAGGCAAACAAAGTTCTTTATTCAATCAATGATATATTCTCCATCGTTGTCTATAATCTTTTTCCAACGTTCTGGCGCATACGGATGCCCCGATCATAAAAACTGCGNAGACACGACGTTTTTTAAGGCATCCAAAGAGTCAATTTTTTTTCCATTTAAATGATTTTGCAATGACCGGAACAAGTGATAATCAGAAGGTGCGATATAAGGAGAATACGGTGGATGAGTCAAGACATCCCATTGCAGGCTGTTTAGTTTGCGCAGCGTCTGTCTCGAAACGTGTGATCTTGCGTTGTCGTGGAGAAAAACTACGCCCTTGCGATTTGACAAATTCGGACGTTTCTGTTTGATTTCTCAATTCAGATTGGTTAATTGGCGACAGTACTTGTCCGAATCAATCGTTTGACCAGCGGGGAGAAACTCAAAATAAATTATGCCCTTGCAATCCCACCAAACACAGAGCATCACCTTCATCGGGTGTAAACCGGCCTTTGCCATTGCTTCACCATGCTCACCTGCCTGTTTCCATGTGCGTTTGCGCTGAACATTGTTGTACAGGACCCATTTCTCATCGCCCGTCACTAATCGATCCAAAAACGGCTCGTTTTTGAGCCGCCCGAGTAAAAAAACGGCAGCAGAAACTCGCTGGATTTTGTTCCTCTCCGTCATCAAATGGGGCACCCATACATCGAGCTTCAAATCGAAACCGATTTTTTTTAAACGCCGAAAAGCGGTTGATCGGTCAACGTTAAGTGCTGTAGCAACTTCCTCTGTTGAAATTCGCGGAGTATTCTGAACTAAAGTTCGCACAACATCGTCATCAATGTCTGAAGGTCGACCTGAGCGTGGCTCGTCTTCAAGGTTAAACTGTCCGCGGCGAAATTTCGCAAACCATTTTTCCACAGTTCGTTTAGCTGGTGCTTGATCTTGATAAACCTCTTGAATGTTTTTTACGGCTGCTGCAACGTTTATTCCTTTCCGAAACTCGTAAAGCATAACATGCCGTAAATGCACCTTTTCGACACTCATTTTGAAAGTAATCTTTCTCGAAGCAGTTCGTATCTACACAAATTCTTTTGTTTGAAATGAACGCTGCACACATCACCTTTCCAACGATATGTCTTACGGAGATGGCGGTATTAATGACAAAACTTTACGCCGCTTCTAACGCCATCTATTGCACCTCCGCAAGAACTTTTGCACTCACCCAATAGTTATATATATTGGTATATATTATGTATACCAACAGCTTTTCACACTATGGGATCGTAGCTATGCCAACATGTCGCTAAGTGCAATGTAAGAATATCTTTGCTCTGGTGTCAAATTATTAAATGTTCTTATAAATAATCATATATTTTTTAATGACTTACTCTTATCAGTTTCTACTTGAGTTAATTAGTATGATAATTGAGGGAAGGGTGTTGTTGGCGATACCATTAGATATCGCCAACGCTTTCAATACCCTCCCCGGAGCCATGTAGAGGTGACCCATGTTCATTACGGGATGCGGCCATATCAGGTTTCCATTATTAAGGATTATTACTTCAGCGGCCGGAAGCTGGGGTACACCGTTCAAGGTAGACTTCAGAGCTAAAGGGAAATGCGATGCGGGGTTCCACAACGGTCATTATTGGGCCTAGTATTGTGGAACCATGCATATGACCGCGTGGTCGGCATAGCTCTCCCCCTGGCAAGCAGCTCGTTTGTTATGCAGACGACACAATTGTGCTGCCCGGNGGGGGGGGGGGGGGGGAAGACGCCAGCCCTTGCGCAAGTCGTAGTCGGCTGCGCCGTGCGCTCCATCCGGGAGATGGGCTTGGAGGTTACGCTCCAAAAGTCCTAGGCTATTTGGTTTCACGGTGGCTCGTCGGGGGCGCCTCCTTTGAATTAGATCTTGGTGGGATCGCATCGGGGTGGAGCCCACGATGAATTATCTGGGCCTCATTCTGGATGGCATCTTGGGGTTCAGGTGGCATTTTGAGATCTTGGCCCCCAGGCCAACGCGCAGAGTGGTCTCCTGCCCAATATCGGCGGTCCAAGCACGAGAGTCAGACGGCTCTATATGAACACAGTCTACTCCATGTACCTCTACGGTCTGGGTTAGCGAGGCGGTGGCCAAACGGCGCATCAAAATGATGATGCGCCGGTCGCAGCGATGATGCGCCGGTCTCACCACTCGCCTCGTCAGGTATTATAGGACCATGTCTCACGCGACCGCTATAGCTCTCGCGGTGGTGATGCCCACGGAGCTCCTTGCGCAAACGCATAAAGAAACGTACATGCGCACGAGGAAGCTTCACGAGACCGAAGAAGGAGTCTCGCGGGTTAACTCTTGTAAAGAAGCAAGTCCAGTAGCGGGCTGTCCTAGTACACTCCAGCTGGACGACCCGCGGTCGCCGGGCTGGCGGACCGTCGATGCCATTGGCGTCTGCAGGAGTGGCTGGACAGGGCCCATAGAGGGCTGACCTTTCGAATAACGCTGGTGTTCACCGGGCATAAATGCTTCAGGGAGTATTTGTAGTTGATCGGAAGGGAGCGCACGGCGGTCTGTCACGACTGCGCTGCCAGGACTTGGCGCACCGCACGCTGGAGCACTGTTCGGCATGGGCAGTGCAGCGCTGGGACCTGGTCGCAGTGGTGGGGGCAAACCTCTCTTTGTTCGCACGATGCTCCGGAGCGAGAGGAACTGGACGGCGGACTCCTCCTTCTGCGAAGATGTAATGAAGCAAAAGGAGGACGCCAAGAATAACAGGCGGGGAGAGGTAGAGCCTCCCGTTGATAGTAGTTTTGAAGGGGGCGGGGATGGAGGAGGTGTTTTCCTAGGAAAAAGAGAAGACACGCCCCTCCCTTCATCCTCGCTTATAGGAAGGGGATCGGCTGACGCCCCGCTGGAGAAATGGATTGGCCGTCTCCGGGAAGAGGTGTCCCAAATCCTCTTTAAAGTGGGGGTGTCGGCTGAGAAGTGTGCGACGGGCGTAAGCCGGCTAGACTGGGACGGGTCCCCGGAGCGTATAACCTCTCACCGGGCATACAACTGGGGCCCTGCAAGAGGAGGAGTGACTGGGGCGTCCAGCTCCTCCCTCCTCCCGCAGAATGAAAGAACCCCGCCTTCCTAATAGGGAGGGGGACAGTTACATGTGGCGGGGACACGTTTATGCGGTCCCCGTTACCGGTCTGGATGGGTCCCCGAGTCCGGGGCGGAGTATGAAATCCTCCGCCCCGGGCAACGCAAAACAGGGTACCCTGGGGAGTGTGGGATACCGCCCACGCCCTCCCGAGAAGAGATACGACCGGTGGCCCGCTTAAAGGAGCGCCGGTAAAAAAGGAAGGGGGAAGGGTCTGGGCGGGAACCTGGATTCTGACCAACATCCTCCACATGGCGGTGGAAGGAAGGCTGTATAGTCCTCCACCTCGAAGGGACGGACTGTTACATCCTTGTTCAGAACGTTAATATTTTGCAGAGGAACCACCATAGAAAAATGCCGCTATCGATGCCTGTGTTGCCGAACCGCCAAAGAATAAACGCGGCAGGGGTTTTAATGGGTATGCCCGTCTCTTGGAATGAGACGGGAGAGTTCCACATACTCCCAGCACTCTCCCCGAGCTCCCGGAGAATTCGTAATGCATTGCCCCCCCCCCCCTAAAAAATAAAAGTTTCTGTGGTAGTTCTGTGGTATTTCGTTTCTACGTCGGTAATTGAGTTTCGAAACCCACGGTGTTAAGTGGAAGATTAAGCTAGCAATTAAATTATACAAAAAATAATTACAGCATTTTAAGTACCATATTAATCACACCATTATATAAGTTCAAAATATCAAACCAATTAAATAACACGTAAATTTGAAAAAAACGTTATCCAAGCAAACGTTAAGAGAAGGAAGATTGTAACGGAAAGAAGTTTAGTTAAATTTATTTTGTAATGAACAAACCAAACGGGATTCGGTTAAAAGAAATGGAATTTTTATTTTTGTGAACCAAATCTGATACTTCAAAAAAATTTTGATTCTTTCAACTAAAATGAGTTTGGTTCATCCGTTGTCAGCTGAATTCAACCAAACATTGTATTTCGTATGTTATTTTCTTGATATGCTATTTGGGTATAACTATTAATTTCTTATATTTTTGATTAAACATAAAACTTTTTTTATAGAATTTTAAATAAAATGAAAAATTTCATTAAAATTATAATCATTTTCGGTAGCAAACTATATTTTCTACTGATTTTAACAAAAAAACAATAGTAATAACAATATATATGTAAGGTTATTATCACTATGTAACACTGANTTTTTATATGTTATAATTCAAAACGTTTTATTACTTATTGGCACCCCTAATATCCAAATAATACATAATATCATTCGTATATAATATTACATTAAAAATACTTTGGATGTACGCAAAATGTTCCTGCAACATTTCTCGGCATATAATTTCTTGTATATTCTTATATTCAAGATATAGGAGCTTAAAATAACATGTCCTCAATATATTATATATATTATCAGCATGTGCATGGTATATTCGGCTCATATTTCGAATATTCTGAGAATATGTATTATATATTAGGTTATGTAGTATGAAATATTCGATTTCTTTAATATTAAATTTGAAAGTCGATATCTTTAATATTTCACTTTGACAGTTCTTAATTTTTTATTGTGAAGTTACATCATCACTTTTTTAAACGCATGTTTTGATTTTTGATTATCTTTCGAAATGTTTTTTTCAGATCAATTTTTGTGAATTCAATGGTAAGTCGAAAATTCAAGTTATTTTCAAATATGAGTTTTGCCGTGAAATCTATTTAGCGCAAACAGCTTGAAATATTAACTACGTATTTGGTGAGGATATAGCTAATGAACGCACAATACATCGATTTGAGAAGTTCCGTTCTGGTAATTTTAATCTTGAAAATGACCAAGGTGGATTATAATGAGCTAAAAGCTATAGTGGAAGCTGATACATCTCAAACTACTCGTGAATTAGCAGCAAGATTTGACGTTACTATTCCAAATATATTGAAGAATTTGAAACAAATCGGCAAAGTGAAATAGAATTAAAAATGCTGGATAGAAGATTTCCGTATGAATGAAAGAAGTGTCAGAAGAGCAAATGTCTCGAAGCTTGCTTTTCTTTGCTGCCACAGCATAAAGGCGAACCGATTGTATATCGTACTGTTACATGTGATGAAAAATGGATTCTTTTCGACAATCATACAGGGTTTGTCCGGAAAGTAATATCAGTGATTTTTTTTTACGCGACTGACTATCAGAGCGCGCTCGAATCGATTGGGAATGGTAGAGGGTCAGCTAACGAATGTTGAGTCACTCAGTCTTCTCCCGCCAGCCGCATAGTAAGGACATGCGTTTCCGTGGAAGTCGTTTTGTGACCTCATGCAAGTAAAAATGCAGCGCTCGTTAGAACAAAAGATGGCGATCAAGTTTTGCGTTAAACTTGGCAAGACCGCGGCGGAAACTCTTCCAATGATCAAGACAGCTTTTAAAGAAGATACTCTGTCGGATCAGCAAGTGTTCCGGTGGCACAAGGTTTTTTTGGAAGGTTGGGAAAAGGTCGACGATCCAAAATCAAGACGATATTTATTGTATTTTTTGATATCAAAGGACTGGTCCATCACGAGTTTGTATCACCTGGTATAACTGTAAACGCTAAATTTTACGTCGGAGTATTGAAGAGACTGAAATGCAGAGTTCAACGCGTCCGGCCGGACATCGCAAAGGACTGGAAGTTGCATGATGACAACGCGCCGGCCCACAGCTCCTTCCTCGTCACTAACTACCTGGCCAAAGCAGGGGTGCCAACGATTCTCCAGCCTCCGTACAGTCCGGACGTCGCTCCCCCCGACTTCTTTCTGTTTCCACGCCTGAAAGGACCCATGAGAGGAAAGCATTTCAAGACCATTGAGGGGATCTAAGCAGCTTGCACCGCGGCTTTAAAGGACATTCCGTAGGAGGCCTACAGTGGCGCATTCGATGCCTAGCTCGCTGGAGCCAATGTGTCAACACAGGAGGAGCTTATTTTAAAGAATTTTGATGTGTTGTAATGAAAAGTTCAATAAATTTTTTTTAATCGACTCAATGACATTACTTTTTGGACAGACCCTGTAAGTGTTCGGTATAATGATCGGATAAAGATGAAGACTAAATACAGTCCGAAACCGATTATTTACCAAATAAGCAAATAGGGTCTGTTTAACGGTCCAGCGTAAGTATTATCTACTACAGCTTCTTGAAACCTGGCCAATCAATTACAGTGGATGTCTACTGCAACCAATTGGACGAAATGATGAGGAAGCTTGCGATTAAGCAGCTAAGATTGGTCAATAGAGACTGGCCAATTCTTATGTAAGACAACGCTTGACCACATGTCGCACAAACAACGATGCTCAAACTACGAGAGTTGGAAACTCTTTATCGCCCGACAGATCTTGCACCACAGACTATCACTTCTAGCGAGCATTGAACCATTTCTTGCAAGGAAAAATATTCAATTCTCAAAAATCTGCGGAAAACGCCTTTTGCAATTTCATTGCCACTTGCTTTCCATGTTTTTTCGCTGCCGGCATAAATAAGCTACCGTGAGAGGGCACAACTGTCAATTTAGGTGCATACTTTGATTAATTTAGGTGCATACATTCATTAATTGTATTGTTTCTTGTTTCAAATATAATGAACCAAACGTAAAACATTTGATTCGAAACCGGACATTTCATATCTAATGACCTAATATTTCTACGATATTCGTGGAATATTTCCAGGGTTTACTTGTATTGTATAAGTATGTTCTGATTAAAGTCCTAAATATAAATAGAAAAGCATGAATTAAGAAATCGGTTGGACTGGTCATCTGGATCACACGATCTAGGCGATATTTTGTTCAGCGATTAGTAAGTTATAACGTTTTTATTATATATTTTTAAGTATATCTTTTCAATGATAGTTATTTATTTATATTTAGGACTCTAATTTAGACGAAATGCTATTTTTCCTCTTCGAGTTTATCACGATTTGACAATAAGAACTTTATTTCATTGAAACCCTCGATTTCGAGTTGGTGAGCCCCGATTACTACCTGCAATCGACGCTGTAGATAATTCAACGGCGGCCCGATAATCGGCGTATTTCCGGGATATTGGTGAGTGCTACCACAACTTGAAGCAGCCGCGGCCGCGTGCACGCTACCGTAGAACTTATTTTCCGTTCTGTCACTGACAAGATACTGATCGTCCTTGCCTAATCCCACTTCGTCTTCCTCGCCGCCGTACGTGTCATCCGAGTCCGGAGAAGAACTGTTGCATCTTCTCACTCGGCGTACCTGCAATAGAAAATGTCACTTCATCGCACATTGTCATTTCGTTTCATATTAATCCACATTGAGACACACCAAACGTATTCAATGTCATCTATCTCATCGATGGAAAAATATTTTAAAAAATAATAGGTCTAAGTAACGAAATCGAAAGCCTGAAAATTTAAAAACCTTAACTCTTAAGCTGTGGCTAAGTAGTGGTCAAAGAATTTTATTATTGCATAATCAATGTCTTATATACTGTACCATTTTTAGATTGAGAGTTTTTTACACTTTTTTACAATTTTTTACAATTTTTAGTCTTTACGCCTCCGCATATACTTCCATAATGCGCTATGTTACATATTGACCGTAAACTTAATTCGAATTCCAAATTTGGCATTCACTGGCCAAATTGACCTAAATAAAAAATTATTATCTCATATTTGATGAGAATAGGACGTAAAGTCCACATCGAGTCGACGTGGACCATCTATATAGAATTCACATTAACAGTTGCATCGACAGGGTCTCAATAATAGAATTCGAATCTACGTCGATATTTTGATTGGATTTTCAATGAAGATAATACGAATGCCTTTTAACTCTAAAAATAGTAATGTTTGCCGTTCTTCTACGTAGAAACTTAAGGAAAAAGAGCTTCTAGTATACAAAGAAAGAAACAGTCCCTTCATATGTTCGCGCCTGCCCGTGGTTTCGAACTTAAACTGCGCCTGTCATCCAACCAATTTTTTAGTCCTAGCCTTAGTCATGATCGTTATTGACTTCGACGATCGGACAGCTAGTAATGTTTCTAATGGCTATGACGATCACTTTCTGATTTGTACATATGTAATGTATCTTTATGTGCTTATAAATATTGTAATGATACACTTACCGATAAACATTAAATATAGTAATACTTAATATAGGATGGATATTAATATAATGTAAATTGTCAAACTAGGGGAGCAAAAAGATTCTAAGTTGTTTTTTGCAAAATTCAATCTTTAATCAAAATAAAAAATAATATTAATAAGCAAAATATTCCCCGTTTGCATCAATTATCCTTTGCCATCTTTCGGAAAGCTTGCGAATTCCTTGATGATAGAAGCTCACCGGCTTTGAAGCGATAAAGTCATCAATGTATTTTCGCATCTTTTAAAATATCACAAAATGTATATTAGCCAAGTGATGCTGCATCGACCGGAATAGGTGTCAGAAGGCGACATGTCTGGGCTATATACCGCGGGAGTATTTTCCAGCCTAACGCAAAGATATGGACATGAGTCGCTTTCGTAACATGTGGGTCGGGCATTGACATGAAGCAGGATTACTTTACTACTTTCTTGGCCCGTAAATGGCCTCTTTTCTCCTAATGCATGTCTTAAATGAGTCAATTGTTGCTAGTAACGGTCTGCCGTGATTACTTCACCCGGTTGTAACGTTTCATTATACAACACACTTTTCCAATCCAACCAGATGCAGAGCAAAACTTTTTTGGCATGGATATTGGGCTTTGGCGTCGATGTCGAAGGTTGATTAGGGTCAACCCATGATTTTCTACGGTTCCTCTTCTTTTTCATCAGCTTTGTTTTGTCCACTGCTGGGCATAGTTTTTTCCAATTTTACTTGGAAGGAATTTTGGTATAAAACGCCACTCTTACTATTGCGTGTTGCGGAGTATTTTTTCTAAAACGTGAGGTTTCACGCAGTAGTTACCGATAGTGCATGGATCAACGGCTTAACGTCTTTTCCGAAAGACGGAGCCCAGTTTCCTCATATATGAGTCCCCACTCTTTTACTTAATTTACGGGGAATGCAGTTTGGAATAAAAATGGTTCGGTGATCAGGTGGACTTGAACGCGGGTTTTGCGGGCTACAAGTCTGGCCTTCTACCACTAGACCACACTGCCGCTTTCTACGCTTGGGGTTATCATAATGAATCCACTTTTTATCGCCTGTAATGATTTTATGCAGAAAATCTTTTTTCCGGAACTTTGAAAACAAAGTTAGTGCAGTGTCAAGCCGTCAATTTTTGTTGCCTTTCGACAGTTTATGCGGAACCCATCTGCCTTCTTTTTGAAAATTTACTATTGTATGTAAATGTACGGAAATGGCTTGTCGCGTAACGCCAAGATGTTTTGAAAGCTCTTTTTCAGTTTGCGCAGAGTTTATACAAGGTCTGTTCAAAAAGTATCGCGAATTTTGTGTTTTTTCAAAAATTATTTATTTATTCATAAATATCTATTTTGTCTCCTTCAAAGTAATCCTCATCAGATATTATACACTTGTGTCAACGTTTTTTCCAATCATCGAAGCACTTCAAAAAATCATTTTTTGTGATCTTCTTCAACTCCTCCTTCCATGCCGTCTTCATCTCCTCAATCGTAGCGTAGCGTCGTTCTTTTATGTGCCTTTTCAGTTTCGAGAACAAGAAAAAGTCACAGGGGGCCAGGTCTGGGGAATACGGTGGCTGCGGCATCATTAGTGTGTTGTTTTTGGCCAAATTCGCGCACAAGCAACGATGTGTGAGCAGGAGCGTTGGTACGAATTTCGCGGCGACCCGTCTCATGTCCAAATCATTAGTAAAAATCGAATGGCACGAGCCAATGTTTAGGTCCTCAGCAACTTCTCTAACGGTGATTCGACGATTGGTTAATACTATTTTCTTCACTTCATCATTGTTTTCGTTTGTTGTTGACGTGCTCGGGCGTCCGGCACGCTCTTCGTCGTTCACATCTTCTCGGCACTCTGAGAACATTTTGTACCACCGATAAACGTTGCTTCGGTCCAAGGTAGCTTCACCATATGCCACAGTCAACATTCGGAATACGTCCACGCACTTAATTTTGTTTTTCACGCAAAATATGATACAGATTTTTTGATCCATTTTTTGGAATAGGCGAAAATCGAAGACGAGCCAAAACACGTCCAAGCAAAACAGCTGTCAAAGGTAAACTGAATATTTAAAATGGCCGAACTTGTCGGCATAAGTGAGGGATATGAGTACCAACATAACGCCACAAAAAAATCGAAAATCGAATATACGTAATCCACGGAAATTCAAATTTCGCGATACTTATTGAACAGACCTCGTATTCAGCAATGCTTGAAATTCGTCCATTTCAAGCTTTTGAGCACGCGGTTCATTTTCAAGGCTGAAATCTTCTTGGCGAAATTTTTGATACAATCTTTTACACCTAGTATCACTTACAGCGTTCTCTCCATATGCAGCACAAATCATTTCAGTAGCTTCAGCAACATTTTTCTTCAGATGAAATGCCAAGTGGATGGAAAATAGTATAGGGTTTTTGTTATTGCCATCGTAAACAGTACAGTTTTTTGAGGTTATGTGCATTAAACGCTAAACCGCATGGCATTTAAAAAAGGCAAATGTCAACGCGTTATAACCGCAGAAGGGCAGAAAGATAAATAAAATTAATTGCTGTTTCGGTTACATAAAATCTAAAGCTCAGAACTTTTTTGCTCACCTAATATTAACGCAATAATTAGTTTTGAATTTTTAACTAAACGTTATTATTTATTTTAGAATAAACGATAAATTAATTTGAAAAAGTGTATGATATGGGACGATTGATGATGTGCATATGATACTTCTAAAATACAATTCCCAAACGCCAAGTAACACTAAAAATACATCAATGTTATAATCTCCAAATGTACAATGAAAATGAAATATATTACATGCTTTAACAGTTACATTATTAATAAATAAATAATAGTAATTGTAGTCATTCAAATTTTTATAGGAACATTGACAGAGTCCACATAGATATCACGTTCATAAATCTACATAGATATATTCACAAAGAATCTACGTGGATATCTCGTCAGTAGATTTACATCCACGTAATTTAACCCATTAACGCGTTCCCAAGCGTTCCAATTTTTTAGCGACTTTTCAATGCGATTATTTTTTATATTATTGGCGTTGAAAAAATTTTGTTTTCACACATTTTGACGTAGAATTTAATGCTCTTTCAGAATCCGTCGTCAAAATTATGGTAAGATTCAAAGGAAATATGATATGATCATTAAACACAAAAGACACAGATATTTCAGAAAATTTTTTTTCTCGATTCTTTTCAGAATGATATCGCAAATAATCTATAGCTAAAATATGCAGAAAGGTGCAGGGAATAGTTGCACTTTGAGGCTGTATTTTTTGTTTTGGCAAAAAAAAATTGTTTTTAATGAAAATATCGCGTTTTTTGCGAAAAAATTTTGAAAATCGAATAATAACCGTCTATTTCATATTATTCTTAATTTATCGAATAAATAACTATGTATCATTAAAAAAAATGATATATTATTGCTTCTTTGACAAATATAAATGTCTTACCATGGTTTATACGTGGCGGGTTCTATGTGGCGATCATAAATGTACCACAAACGGCGAAAAACTGTAAATTTTCTTATATTTCAGGTGTTTTTTGCAGATAACTGAAATATATATATATGTATATATATACAGGGTGTCCCAGACCACCAGTCTCACTCGATTTTTTCGTAAACGCGACATTTTAAAGAAAAATGTTTCAGACAAGAGTTTTGTGACTTCGAAGGGCACATAAGATGGTGTCATTGGTTTGACCTTGGATAGTCGTTTGAAGATCACGTGAAGGTCACCTTTAATTTCTTAAATGGAAACCCCCATTTTCAATGCATATTCTTGTAGCTTACCACGAGAACTTTCCAAAACGCTATAATGAAACGTATTTTTAATCAGTACTTTTCGAGTTATGAGGGTTGAAATTTACGGTATCGCCGGCATTAGCATTACCCAATGTGGAGATTGCACTATCGGATTTGTGTGTTTGTGTGTTTGTGTGTGAATGTGTGTGTGTTAACAGAGATAAGGACCCCACGGTTGTTTGTTTTCATGGAAAATTCACCAGATTGTGCTGCGACTAATTCCAGAATCTCTTTCTGTACGTCTTAATGAATGGCAGGGATGCAATTGAGCGGATGCAAGAATCTTCGGCATTATTTCATCTCTAACT